CGGAAGTGGCTCTAGCTTCTCAGTGCTATGCTTTAACCCGCTGCGCCACCAGGGAGCACAGAGTCCCCAATTTTTACGCAGGGTCTACATCACAGTAGACATTAACAAAAACAAAACAAACAAAAAATCTGCTGGTGAGTGAATGAGTGAGTGAGTGAATGAGAGAGAGAGATAATGAATGAGTAGATGATACATCATATGAGTAGCAGCAGTAGGAAGGTTAGCTTGGGTGAGAGTATGATTTTTCAAAGCAAATATGAAATGAATCATATATCATTGCTACTAAAATGGGCAAATCAAAATAGCTACTTTGAAAGTCTTATAAAAACAAAGCAACATTTTACAACAACATAAGTGCCCACAGACAGAGGAGTGGATTAGGAGGGCGTGGTATGTATATGTAATGGAATACTACATAGCTGTAAAAAAGAAAAGATCAACTCTTGATTTTGCAGCACGGATAGAACTGGAGGGAAATGCTAAGTGAAATAAGTCAACAGGGGAGAGACAAATCAGGGGTGATGCCACTTATAGTTGGCATATCGAGACCTCAAATGAAGAGTCAAATAAAAACAAACTCTAGAAATACAAGTTTGGAATTTAGGCTTCCAGAGGGGGAGAGTGAGGTGGGGTGTCAGACACAGAGGGGGTGCAGTGGACTACAAGGTGATGGGGGACCTTGGCTGCCTTGGTGGTGGAGTGTAACACAATGATCCTATGCCTGTAAATCATACACAGTGTTGTAAGCCAATATTTGCTCAATAAAAAACAAACAAAACAACAGTAATATTTCCCAGTAACAAATGCATATGCCTCATGATCAGCAAGAAGCGACGTTTTCTAGCTTCAATAATAGCTATATGTATAGTTATTATGACATGTTGGGTTCGTATTCTAAAGAATTTGATTTAAATGGCAAGTTTTAAAGGCGTGCCATTAGTCTTCCCATTTAGATGTTCAACAGCACATCAATCACTCACAGGACTTAATATCCTAATTTGACAAATTTCTATTTGCTTATTAATGAGTAATTCACTCTAAATCTTGCAGGAACATTATCTTTATTTGAACTTGAGAAATAAAATATGGTCATACATTTAAATTGCTTTGATCAAACATGGATTCCATGCTCCTAAAACTGCCATATTTTGAGCTATAAAATGATGCATAGATTTACAAAAGTATTTTGAATTATTGTTTTATGCCAAAAATAAGCAGAACTTCTACATAAAAATAGATTTGCTTTAAATTTTGAAAAGCAATTGGAAAAATTAAGGGATACAGCAGTTAGGATTCAGATGTACTTCTATATGTCATAACTATCCATACACAAACAAACAGCACAGTAAAAATTTCTCATTTTGAGTTGAGTGCTCTAATTTGAAAATAGCAAGCTAATAAGTCTGGTCGTATAGTGAATAAGAGCACCAAAATATTCCTTTTTTTATAGAAATGTCAGAGGCAGGAGGCAAAAGATGGCAGCAGTGAGTTGTTTCAAGATCTAACTGTGCACATGGTTATTTTATGTTTTAATATTATCTCATTGTGCATTTGATAATATCTTAATGGATGAGTTATTTTAGAAGAAGGAAAATCATAAATGTTCCAGTAAAACTGGACACAAACACATTAAATCAAGTTACCGCAGGGTATCCCTGGTCTTCAAAAATACCCACCTCACCCACCCACCTGCTAAAGAAGTCGACAAGACCTGCCTTAGTTCATCTCCAAACTGAAAGGTGAGTGAACAAGGTTTGCCATTGTTTGCTTTAAAAATAACTCTCAAATACTCTAGAAAATTATTCTGTTGCCTTCGCTCTAAGGAGGCATTAAAGGCACACACTTCCTGTGGACAGTATGTACGTGCCTAATCTAATCCCAAGCAAAAGGGCCCTCCCCTCAGCCCCAACTCCCTTTCCACCCGCAGTATGCATACACTTCCTGATTTAAAAGATGCCAAGATCAGGTAAAAAAAAACAACAAAACAAAACAACAAAACAAAAACAAGGAAGGAGACACAAAGAGCATCTTTTCCAACACTCCAGTAGTCTGTGCATTCCTCCGCACCTGCACACAGCAGTGATTCAACAACCTTTCTGAGAACTGGACTGAAAAATATCCTTCACCACGTGCTGTAAAATGGCTTTTCAGGGGCTTCCTTCACAGGCACCGGGGCCATGTGAGCTTGCAGCTTGTTAACCTTGGGCCAGCCAGTTTGGGAGGGGAGGTGAACTCAAGGCTGTAGTACCCTGTCCAGCTTGGGGGCAGTGGAGTTAAAAATGACAGTGACCGCCCCCCCCCCAGAGCCGCGGGTGTCTGGGGGTGGTGCAGTGCCCTGACTACACCAGAGGGGACACCCTCTATTTTAAACACTAACAGGGGTAGTAACCAATGGTACTTTAGTGAAGGGAAAAAAAAAAAAAAAGACCATTTGCATGGCCTCAAATATTCTTGCTTAACCTGTGGCTCTGTGCATTATTTCCTAACCTGTCTAGAACTTCTGCTTGCTCTTGCCTCCAAAGTATGGAGACTAGCCCTGGATAAACGTCCAAGTCATGTGCCCATTGCTGCATTATCTCTTCTGACACAAAAGAGAAGCCTGTTAGCTAGAATCCTCAGTGCTGAAATGGCTCTGGTGACAGTGCCCGGGTCGGTGGTGATGGTGACTGTCTCAGAAAGGAGCTCTGGGGAGAGGGGAGTGCTGACGTCACAACCAGACACTGGGATTCACAGGGTCAGGGAGAGTGAGAGTGTGTTCTGCCTGCCCAGTGTGGTGAGTGGAGGGGGCGCGCCCCCAGGGCATCCGGACAGAGCTGCGGGGTGAAGGTGAGAGGACTTCCCAGGCACCAGCGTCTGGCCAGTGCCAGTCAGACTCCTTAAGGTGACTCCACTGGCCGATGTCACGGCAGGAGCCCCAGGCAAGTCGGTGGCCTCAGGGAGCTGTCCCAGCAGGAGGTGATAGGGAGGCGCACTGGAAAGGCCGAGGCCAGGCATGCGGCCTAGGAAGACCAAGGGCAAGCGACCAGGGGGTGTTTCTGTTCTTCCCAGCGCCAGGGGGAGGAGAGAAGAAGGTGTCAGGCCGAGGGGCAGGAGCTCCAGGAAAGGAGGGAGAAGGAAGAGGCGCTGGGGGGCTTATGGCCACCTATTCAAGCTCAGGCTGGTCGAGGGGCTCTCCTGAAAGTTGACATACATTCCAGACTCAAGCCCGAAGGGATTTCGTGAAAGGAGACCGCT